AAAAAAGAGGACGCTCATCCAGTGGTGTCACTTCGCATGCTTTCGGAGTGCTTGATCCCCCCGTCCCCAACAATGCTGGCCTTAAGGGAATGTTCCGCATTTTGAGATGTTGAAGCAAGCATCAGATATGATGAAAGCAGTTCAGTTATTACTATTGATATGCCCTTAAGTGAAAAAGACGGACCTGGATGACAAAATTTCTCAATCTGGTCAATATGCTTCTCAAAACACCATCGTTTGATTGCTTCATGCAGCGTTTGTATGTCATTGGGGTGCTGCCAAACTTGTGCGAGATTGTCACCTAAGCACTCACATGTAGTGCCTCAACCCGCCGAAAAAAATGGCAAGAGCGGCGCTGGAAGTGCTCGCTGGGCCAAATACCGTTATGCGCTGATGTTCTGGCCCATGGTATGTTTCGGATCTCGTGTTGTTCTTGCACATTTATCGGCGAGGTTAAGAAGCTTACTTGCATTTGCTACTCGGTTGCGTCGCTATTCTTGAGTCATTCTATTATGGGTCATTGCCGTACGAACTAGCAACTGTGCTCAATTTATTGCATTAGGTAGCAGAAAACGTGATTCATTTTTAAAATATGCACAGCTTGCTCAATATTCATTGAGGCAATTTGTGTCTGCTAGAGTTGGAAATCGTGCTCACGGACGCCAGATCTGGATGGCTCTACAAAAATATTATTATGGCGTCCTTGAGCGCCGCATGGCCCTTGCGATGGCACCATTCGAATGACGTTAATATCACGTCATGCATGCCTGAATGGCTTTGAAATGGTCCGCACGAAATAGTCTGCACATCTTCACGGGGCGTGTAGCTGAGCAACTGGGGGGGGGGGGGGGGGGGGGTTGCGTCTTAAAGGGAGTGTTCCACATGTATATGGCTTTTTAGCTGAAATAGCCATATTGAAGATAATTCGGTGCAGTGCACAACCCTGCCGTCCTTAAGACCTACACCTCTAGCTTCTGAGCTACACGCCCGCAAAGATTGCGAACTTTTCGGGGAAACTATTTCAAGGTCATTCAGGCACCCGTAACGTCATAATATTTATCAAATCCTGTACTTGTCCTGTCGATCAAATCCTGCTATTCAATTAGCTATGCGGCGATCAAGTCCGAGTCAAACACTTTTGACGAGTTGTTTCGTATCTGGCGTTCTTGAGCACGATTCCCAGATATAACGGCCGTAGATTGGCTCTGAATGAATGTTGTACAAGATGTGATGACGTAATTAAACAATGACGTATCATGGAGCATATTCACCAAACAGAGCGATTTTCCTGTATCCAGCAGTCTTTCTACTTAGAAGTACATAGATAGTTACATGGGCGTAGGAGCAATGGGACCAAGGGTCCATGGTCCCCCCCCCCCCACAACGTTTCAAGGTGGGGGGCCAGCAGTGTTAACTGTCCCCCCCCCCCCACACACTTTTTACGTTAGGGTTGTGTTTAGCTTACTTTTGCACCACATTGAAATATACAAGCAGATGTATGTAGTTCATTAGTCATCTTCCTCAAGATGCGTCATCTTTTCCTTTTGCTTATTGGCCGTCGCCTAGTGTCATAGCCGCTGGCCGACGCCACGCGGCCTATGGAGACTGCAAAGCCGAGCGTTCCGGCTGTTGTTGCTATGACTTGTGAGCGCGTATGTTCAAAACCACATTGCGTAATTTTTATCAGTAATCAATTCTGACTGAATCTTGAACATTTCAAGACTAACATGGATTAGTCGTGTTAATACAAGCTTAGGACCCCATTTCATCAGCAATCTGCGTTCAGGGATTCCTCAATATCTCTGAAGAAAACAGAAAAGCACGGAACTGGAGCCTGCGTGACAATTATTGGACCACCTATGACGATCATGGATGTTGTTGCGTCGATGAGGGTTCCTTTGCTGATCCGGGACCAACTGCGCGTTGCCCGGCCCGTTGCCCGGGGGGAAATAAGGGCCTCATTATTGTTAAGTAGAGTGGATGTCTCATTATTGTTGAATAGAGAAGGTTGAAATGAATTTTAAGAAGGATGAACAAGGCCATTCCATGTTTGCCTAGAAACGTTCATTTTTCAGAATGGGTTATTGAAAAGTGCATCAAAAGGTTTGAACATGCCCGCTCGCAACCTCGAGAGCAAGGACAGCGATAGTCTGGGTTGCAGCTTCCGTAGAACCGAACGGCGTCGGCCACTGCAAGTGACGCCAGGCGGGCGCCGTGTTAATCTGTCTTCTGGACAGATTAATAACGAAGGAACTAGAAACTTTTCACTGCGACCTGAATGCAGGGGATCGTGCTAAGCTGGATGTGTTGAAATGTCAGTAAAACATCTGAAAGATTCAGTGGAGTCCAGGGTTGCACATAAGGTACAGCGAGAAAATAACGAACGACAGGAGATTGACGACGTATACGATGACTGGTACATGAGCGTATGCTAGCCAAGGGGCAGGACACAGCGAGAAAATAACGAACGACAGGAGGTTGACGACGTAACGATGACTGACACATGAGCGTATGCTAGGCAAGGGGCGGGTTTGACCGGGTAATTATTGGCAAACCGAGGCAGAGGATTTCGGTACGTGCAGTACATGCTGCAAGTTCGGTGTAAGAAAAGGAGACATCGTGCTTAACTGTGGTTGACAGTGACTCTGAACACTGCATGGGTCATCCAGACCTTTTGGCGGGCCAGTCTGTCCCCGTGCAGTCCTCAGGGGCTGTGCCGTTGCATTCGGCGAAAAGGTGCCTCACGTGTTGTCGCATATGACCGTCAGATTGCAAGGCGGAAGAAGCGGAACGGCACTCCTCGCTAATTTGATGCTCGAACATTATGATGTGGCTCTACGAAAGCGCTACGAGCCAGTGAACGACTCGTCAAGTCTTGCTCATGTGCGCGCGTGGCCACGGTCATTCAATATTTGGCATTTCAAACACCGTAATTGAATAGCCACTATCATCAGGTATCAGCTTCTACAAATTGCATGCCTCCCCACACCTTCTACATCCCGCACTTCCACTTCCGCCTTCCACTTCCCGCATTTCACGTTCTGCATCGGTCACACATATTGTGTTCAATGATGCAGGGAATAAACACGGTATCTCGACTTAGATCATCGAGAAGGATAGTATAGATGAGCAGCTTTTGTGAGAATTGAGCTCATCATCGGGATCTGATGACGACAAAATCAAGAGGTGTGGGACCGCAAAATCAGGAGCTGATTTGGCAACCTTCGATGTCTTATGTGATATTGGTTCCTCTGTGTGCGTTTATGTGTGTCTGTTCCGCTCTGCATGTACGTATGCGCGTGTTTACTCCCTGACATCATTAAACACAATGCATGAGAGCGATGCAGGACGTGAAATGCGGGAAGTGTAAGACTGAGGAGGTAGGAAATTTATAGAAGGTGATACACAGTGATGGCGGCCATTTCATTGCGGTGCCAAAGACCAAATATTGAATGACCGTGACCACGCACGCACATGAGCAAGACTTGACGAGTCGTTCATCGGCTCGCAGCGCCTCTGTAGAGCCAAATCACAACGTTCGAGCATCAAATTAGCAAAAGGTGCCGTTCTGCTCCCTCCGCCTTGGAGATGACTGAGAGGTGATTGCGGATCGCGGATCCTCTGAGCGAATGGTAGAGTGCTCGGCGGGGCTATGGGTGGTGGTGTTGAGTGCTGAGGCGGAGCCGCCTAACTTTCATAAGTGTGCATATTTTCCACACGGGGTTTGACTGCGGGAGATTGGCGAATTCCCTCGCTACCCCTCCCCGCTCCCCTCCACACTAGGGAATGGAACGATGTTTAGCAGTATTTCAGTCCATAGCATTCCGTCGCATCATATATTTTGGTTTCCACAAATGTTTCCTACGTGTCATTTTACTTCCTCGGAGGTTAACATGCGCCCGGGTGGGGATCAAGTTGACTCCCCTCTCGAAGGTTTTTCCGAAATGGTTTCCGAACGGCGCGGCGAGGTCACGCCAAATTTTGGGTAGCTGTAGATAAATGAATAGCTGGTCGTCTGACACTAAACATGTAGATGTGCCTTGGAAGGTCGCACACCTTTGGCAGGTCAAAGTCAGGCCATGGTTTCGGCGAAGGCAATTTCTAGGGAATTGTTCGATCTGATCCAACAACGGAGTCTTCGATGAGGCCATACATCTCGGACATACTTTCTTAGGCAACACAACAATTGAATGAACGAATTGCATTGACCTAGGGTAAGGTATAAAGGTCGGACCAAGGTCGAAACCAGCCTGTTTTATTACTCTGGGGCTTGCTGTATGGGGTAATTTCTGGTTTTCATTTCGAACTTATTGCTAACAGGAACCGTATTTAACATCTTCCACGGACTTCTTTTAGATCAAAACAGGTCTCTGACCTAAAATGAGCCAGGCCAACATTTTGATTTTGGGAACATACTTTCTAGCGTTAAATTTGTCGCCTATTCAAATGCAAAACTTAATGCAGTCTGGTATTATTTTGGTCACCATAACCATCAAAACGTTAAGCGAGGTCACCCGCCTAAACTGAGCATTTGACATTTTACTAAGGACAGTTATCTAGGTTCTAGGGGCGCTTTAAAGACTGACCTAAAATTTGACCTTGTTTGACCTTATTTGACCCGAAGGACGTGACCTAGGTACCTCAAACTTTTGACCTATGTAAGTTCACGTACAGGTTCCCATTCCCTGTGAGTTTGGTGTTTCTAGCTTTCTTAGTTCCTGATATCTCCAGGGGCTCAAATTAACCCCTCCCACCCGAGCGAAGGGTATCCAGCCGGCCACCCAGGCGCTCGTTTAAAGAAAGTTTTAACTCTAATGGCTGTTCATGCATGCAGTATACCGTTGTATTTAGTGGCATTCATCACTTTCTGAATCGGCAGTATTCTGGCAGCAATTGTTGGTGAACTCCAGTCGGCTAGAACTCTCAGGTTTATCTTGAGATATTTCGTGTAGAGGTCTAGTGACTGAGATACACAAATGCGGCCATTGGCACGACCGGCACCACTACCTTGAAAACCCCACTTGTCGTGTGTGCGTACGCCCGTAAATTCGACTGGACATTCAGATTTCAAATGAGCTCATTGAAAAACTTGTACGCATCTGTACCCAACTTCCAAATTAACCCTTAGCTCAAGATACGAGAATTAGTTTCTGAACGATGGAACGTTAGTGGCTGCTATGTAGCTTGGCGTTAGAGGTTCAATAAATAATTATTGGTAAGCGTCTAGGTGCGCACCAGTCATCTCACATCGATTAGGCATTGCAAGCGGGGACTATCAACGGGAGCACTATTGCCGACGTCGGGCGATCGGCAAGATCGTGAGCCGCCGCGTCACCAGTTGCTGGTAAGGTCTTACATGTGGAGGGCTGGGTGTATCCAGGGATATTGCATATTGCCTCTCATTTTGTTTTCCATTGACGTGGCTTATGGCCCAATAGATGAGTGTGTTAAAAGTGACTTACCAGTATTTGTGTGCCATCAGCAACAGCATGGCCCAAAATTCATAGCCACAGTGCTGTGATGAAATGAAAGGGCGTAGGTATACATCAGTACCTAATGTTAGAAAAAATTGTTGCACATCATTTGTTATGTTTAAGGTGTGAATAATCATAAAACAGGTAGATCCATGCTCCTACCTTCAAGTTTTAATAACTGCCACAGTGAGCTCCTGGGCGTCGCGCACACCCCACAGCATCAACTCCCCAGTGCCGTTTCTGCGTTATCATTGGGTAGTTACAATATTTCTGCTTATCAAGAGCCATAAGAAATGCATGAGGCCAAGGTAACAATAATAATGCAGTGAAAATGTTTTTTATTGTGTGTAGGCACTGTTATCAAACAGACAGGCCAGAATAGTCCAGAACTTAGCCTAACCTAGTGTAACCTAACCTAACCTAACCTAATGTAGCCTAGCCTAGCCTAGCCTAGCCTAGCCTAGCCTAGCCTAGCCTAGCCAGCCTAGCCTAGCCTAGCCTAGCCTAGCCTAGCCCAGCCCAGCCTAGCCTAACCTAGCCTGACCTGACCTGACCTGACCTGACCTGACCTGACCTAACCTAACCAAACCTCCCCACCCTATCCTCTTCAAACCAGTGTCCCATTGGCATCCATGTTCCATGCCATCTATACCATATTACAAAGTTTTGTTTGGCCACCATATTCTCATTTTGCTTTTCATTCTCACCCAAAAATGTCATATTTGCCCACCATGGCAACCAATCAACAAACAATATGGAAGACTGCTTGGGTACACAAGAAACATATTTCACTGGATTCTTGTTATCTTGGCCCCATACATTTTTATGCTTCTTGATGCGCAGTAAGGTTGTGATCACGCTTAGCGCCAGGGCCGCGGTTGATGCGTGTTTGCGGTGTTCAGATGTTCGCTATCCTAGTTATTTAAGTTCCAAGGTAAGAGTTTAGATGACCTGTTTTACGATTAATTAGGATATGTTCTGCCTTAAAAATGATGATTGACGTACAATGCTCTTTTTGAACATGAGGTAGCAATGTATACCCTGACCAATGAAAGAGGAGTTAAACCCAGTCTTTTTGCACCCTGTGATATGTGGTTATTTGCAGTCAGGGAAGCGAGCTTGCCAACAATATAATGCATTTATAGTGAAGTGTGGTGTTCTTTAAGTGGAAGCAAATCATGTGAAGGGCTATTTTGCTTGATGAAGGAGGATGTAGTTGGGCCCTTGTAAGGGATGGTAAGTTTGATTATGTTATTGGGATCCTTCCACTTGGCAATCATGGTGGACAGTGGTTTGCAGAGCTTTTTCATCAGCTTTATGACTAGAGAATGTCACATTTTTTATGGGTGTTGTGTCTTCTGATGTGCTGTATATAGTTTTGGTTTTAGGTGCTGTAACATGGTCATTGATCTGGTCTTCCACAGTACATGCAGGTCATATACATGCAGGTTGTAATCATTGTTGGCTGGGATTTGCTTTACTTGTCTGAGCTCCTGGTATGCTAGGGGCCATGACCAGTAATGGATCATGGATGTAAGACAGGTGGATGGATGTAAGCCCATATAACTCTGCTTTTGTACCTGTTGGACACATGCTCTCTCACTTTGGGTGTTTGCTTTTGTACCTGTTAGATACATGCTCTTTCCCTTTGGGCATTTGTCAGCATCAGTAGGCTTTGGATGGACCCCAGTTGCAAAGGTTTCATCTGAAGCATTGATCGATACCTCAAAAGAATTATTCTCTGTAAATTCCTCCATGCCAACTTCTCCCCCATGTTCAGACCATGCATGCTTAGGTCTCAAACAAGTTTTGTCTTGGCTTTCAACATGTGCAGAGCAGTGAGACCCTACACATGATATGCTGTGCTGAACAACACAAAAGTCATCATGCACTGTACACAGAGACAAAAATGTATCACTCTGGAAGCAATAGGCCCTAGCCCTGGCACTGGCCCTGGCCTTGGCCTTGGCCTTGGCCCCAGGCCGCTCTCTGCTTATGCTTCCCTGCTGTTGCACTGCTTTACAAACCCTCCTTTTCAGAGCAATGGAGTTTATACATGACAGGCATGCCAAATATTTCAAATTTTGTCTGGATGCAATCCCTGGTGATTTCACAAGCCTTGATACAAGCAGGTATGTGGTTATTTTTCAATGCCCCTTCTTTGTGAAGCAACATGATTCTAAGATATTTTCACTGTCTTGAATAGAGTGTTTGTTTTATGTTTGTATTTTGTAATGTGAACAGAGACTGTTTTGTGCTTGCATTTCATAATATAAATAAACCCATGACTTAATTTTATTGTGATATGTAGGCTTTCGGGCCATCTTATGCTTGCATTTTGTTATATCCTGGCAACTATGACAACACATTGATATGTAAGCTTGGGCTAAGATAAAGTTGAATCTGGTGGTGACATGGCTGCTTGAGGTGTCAGGCTTGTACCTGCCTTACATACTGAATACTGTTATGCCAAGCAAAAATTCTGGTTGCATCTACAAGCAGCTTACTATTGGAGACAAGCATGAGGCATTTGGTTGCAGCTGCAAGCAGCTGCACCTCTTCACACAACCATTTAACCTTGATTTCAGGATGACATTGCTGTTTTATGCAGTGTCGGGCTTAGACCTCCTGGACCGACTGGATCTCATCAGGGATAAGCAGAACATTATCGATTGGATCTACAGACAGCAGATCACTTCAGAAGCATGTGGTAGGTGCACTCATTAGCGTGGCCATGCTCGTGGTTCTGTCCGTACTCTGCAGTACATGTTGACGCCGCGTGATCAGCGTGTCATGGTGCTATGTGACTCCGCAAACGAACTGCTGGCGGACCGGCGGAGCCGATACGGTACTCGGGGTGCCGGTGGTGTAGTGGTTAATGCGTTTGCATTGACCACTGCGCGTCTGGGAAACCAGAGGTACGGGGTTCGATTCCCCGCGGTGTCTGCCCTTCCTGCCAGGGCGAGAGGCAGGCGACGCCATATAGCTTCAGAAGCTGAGTGTGTGGTAAAGCCCCAGTGACACACACACAGACCGATCCGGGACTCTGCTGCCCGATGGCAGACGGCGACCGTGTGTGCCAACCGGTTACACTCGAGGGGGGGGGGGGGGCATGACTCCCCCTCGATGCGTTATAGGAAACACAGGAGCCGCATATCTGATGTGGCTTTCGCGCCACTGTTTGCTTGATGGGGCTTGATGGGTCCCGTTTCAGACTGCGTGTGCCTATTATGAAGGCAGCAATGGAGCATCAGTGGGCCAAGGCTCGTTTGCATGGTGTTTTGTATCAGTATGAACTGCTGGATGATGCACTCATGCACCTCAGTGCACATTGCAACTCCGTATAGAAGGAGCATGCTGTTTCGAAAATTCACCATGCTGTTTCGGGCATTTTGATTGAATAGGAAAGATTGCGACCATCATTCAGTGACGCAGAAATATTACAGTTTGCTGATTTTTGCCAAGTAATGTCGGTTTTAACCAGTAAATACCGGCAACAAAAACAAAACAACAGAAACTGGCGGGCAGGCGGACTGGTGTCAGCGAGCTGGGATGTCAGATCTCGTGTGACATGGCGTGGAATGCTGTGCTGCAGACGGTGACCTGTCGAGGGCCGGCTTCCGCGGCTCGCCCACCGCCTTCACCGGCCGGCCGCCCAACCAATGGGACTGCAGTCACGTGACGATGACCTACACGGCGCTGGCCACGCTGCTGGTGCTGGGGGACGAGCTGGCCGACGTGGACCGGCCGGCGCTGCTGGCCGGGCTGCGAGCCCTCCAGCTGCCGGACGGCAGGTGCGCACCGCCAGCGTCAGCTCGGGCTGACACTGACGCCGCCGCCGTGGCGTCAGACGGAGGAACGGCTGGAGCGTGCGCATGACAACTAAGGGACGTTGGGATTTTGGTCGCCCTTGGCCATGGTTCTTTTGTAGCCAAGTAGCTAACTGGCTCTACAGCCCGAAGTATCACCATCACTCTTCGTCGGGAGGACCTAACTGAGTGCCTCCACCAAAACGTGGCGCTTTCTGGGGCACGTGGGCTCATGTTTCATTGAAACGTGTGCATGGCTTTCTTCCTTACACTTCAGTGGGCTATGTATTGGTTGTATGGGTCTAATGGTTCGTTCACCGGCGGTTTTTGCGCAGTGCGTCAGACCAGTCGGTTTTGCGCAGCAGTGACACGCGCGTCGGACGTGCGTGCTAACCCGCCCTCGCCCATGTCATACCTGTGCGGAAAGGGTCGTACTCTTCTAGCATATTTTACCTCTGCTCACGGGGTGTGCTTCCTTCTCTCATCCCCCGCATGACCGCGCTGGGCTTTTTTCCACTTCCACTTCCACTTCCGGTCACCTTTTGCAGGAGACCAGACCGGGGAATGTTGGAATGCCTAACACGCTACGAGATCACATTTGTAGGTTCACCGGGATTTGTCGATTGCAGACATTTGGCATGTCTGAATGTGATAAATGATTGCAACGAACATTTGGCTCTGCTATGTTCGGGGTGCCGGTAGTGTCTTGGTTAACGCGTGTGAGTTAGCCACTGCACGTCTGGGAAGCTAGAGGTACGGGGTTCGATTCCTCGCGGTGCCCGCCCTTCCTGCCTGGATGAGAGGCAGGCGTCACCATATAGCTTCAGCAGCTGAGTGCGCCGTAAAGCCTCAATAGCATGACTCTGATATGTTTCACGTTACGGAGAGCAAGCTGTCATGGAAACCAACCAAAGAACCCGCTCATTTGTGTCACGCGTCAGATTTTTTTCAAATGATTTGAGTGCTGCTTTTAACGCGCGTCCGACGCGCTTGAAAACGCTTGGTAGTAGTTAGTGACACTGGTCTTGATATGGCTGGTGCTTTGCCCCCTTAAAACCAAAAGCGTACCTGTGTGTGCGTGTGTGCGTGCGTGCGAGCGTGCGTGCGCGCGTGCGCGCGTGTCGCTTTTGTGGTGTGCCATTTGGCGAGGTCGCCCGTGGTGCGCTGGTTGTGCTGCGAGTGGTGCTGCTGGCGGCGACGCGGTCACCTCACCTCTCCCGCCGCAGTTTCCTGTCCAGTCTGCACGGCGGAGAGAGTGACATGCGTTTCGTGTACTGCGCCGCCGCCGTCTGCCACATGCTCGACGACTGGTCGGGGATGGACCGCCAGCGCACGCGCCAGTACATCCTCCGCAGCCTGGTGCGTCTCCGCCGGCCTGGCCTTCAGTGGGGGCGGGTGACGGGCGAGCGGGAGGAGGGGTCTGACGCCGCTTCTGTCATGTTTCATCACGTTTGCCGGTAATTTGGAAGCAGTATGTATGAATGCATTAATCGTTTAAATCTTCGGATGTGGGCGTCTCGTGCACATTCTGTGCATTTCCATGAACCGTCTTTTGCATGTGTCATATGCCCTGTGTGTCATGTACGGCGCCTGCTGTATATATGCCAATGTGTTGTGTTAGTTTAAATGCGACAATGTCAATGTAAACTCTCGTTGACCCGCTCAACCGATGCTTATGTTTACGGATAAGATAATGTGTTAGTTTAAATGCGACAATGCCAACGTAAACTCTCGTTGACCCGCTCAAGCGATGCTTATGTCTACGAATAAGATAATATGGAAATGAAAGCAGCCCTTTGTCTCCGTGGGCTGTTAGCAGCTCTAATCGATCGAGTTCCCTTGCATGTTTTTCAGCGCTACGATCACGGAATATCGCAAGGCCCTTTGCTGGAGTCTCACGGCGGCTCCGTGTTCTGTGCGTGCGCTACTCTCAGCCTCATGGGGGAGCTGCACACGACATTAAGCGACGCACAGGTGAGCTGCCTTCTCTGGCTGCAGGGCTTAACAGCTAGTCAACGTCAGCGCAGCGGCCGCACCGCCCATGTTATTGTGCATGCCAAAATCATACGAGCTGCGAGTGGCTGCGGCTTGCTGTCTGTGACGTCGGGCCGTTGCCGGCAGCGCGACGGTCTGGTCTTCTGGTGCCTGAGCCGGCAGGGAGGCGGCTTCAATGGCCGGCCAAACAAACAGGAGGACTCGTGCTACACATTCTGGATCGGGGCGTCCCTGCACGTGAGTCTCTCAGGTGGCCACGCTGCCCATAGCAATCGCCCAAGTACGCGCCTACTGTGGTGGAGGGATGTTTCAGTCTGCTGGACACCTGTCAGGGACATGCGCCTTGTGACCCGACTGAATGACCGAATATATGTGACCGTATCCGCCTCGGCCTACTTTGTCATACAAATAATATTTGCAGGCGTAATATTTGGTAGGTCGTAATATTTGGTAGGTTTGGTTCGTAATATTTGGTAATAGGGGGATGATGTTTTCAATGGAATACAGTGCCCCTTTAACACTCAAAGTGAAGAGGAGGGGGGGGGGGGGATCCCCTCCCCAGTTTGTTGTAAATATTCCCGGAGTGAGTGGGCTTATTGGCAGGTTTTTCGGTCTACCTACAAACAAAATTCTACCTGGTGGTTTGAAGCAAAGAAAACTAAAAGCGGCCGGAAAATTGCCAAGTTACAGACAGGCGAGGTTAATAATGTAGCGTCAATGTAACAAAAGTTTACAATAAATAGTCCACTAAAAAGGCAGCACGATGTCTAGCAGCCAGTCGCCGGCCACTAGCTGCACATAACTGGCCCGCCGAGCCGGACCGTGCAGCGTCACCTTAACGTCAGTCAGGTTGAGCTGCACTGTATAACATCGCGCCGAGTGATATGCATTGTGCAGATAGTTGAAGAGGTCTGGAATCATCCTGCTCAAGCTTAGGTGTCTGATTTCCGACATTACGAGGACCTATGCCCTACTGGGTCGCCCCGCGTTGTGACAAAGTCTTTTCAGTTTCGGTGGCTGAGTTCCGCCGATAGTGTGATCCGAGGCGTGGGAAAGCCGTTTACATGGTCTAGCCATGCAGACCTTGCATTAGTCAGTTCCAGAGATAGCGAGGCGATCTCTTTTTTGGGGAACTTTTGCGTTTGTCTTTGGGTAACTCACGATGTGTTTAACTCACGATGCGTTTGATTGACTCGCGGGAATGACTGGCACTAGCAGTTCGTCATTAGTCTAACTCAGCGTTGTAAAATATAATAGAGAGGTCTTGATCAAATGTCTTTTCACGCTGTTCGTGCAAGAAGGGCACAAGGACTCTGACGCTACGAGAAACAGGCATGGTAACAAAAAATAGGCTTCCGGCTTAAAGTGCCAATGACGTTTCTAGGCTGCGCTTGCGCCGTACTGGCAACAACGGATGAATGACCTTTACAGTAAAACAGACTTCGGTTCAGCCACCACTGCTGGGGCGTGAGCCCATTTGTAGAAACGTATCCCTGTTTCGGTTAGCTTCTGGGCCAGTGTTAGCAGGTCTGTACACACCCACGTGTCAGACGGTGAGCGGTTCAAGGGGGACGCTCTCACTCTTGTGACGCGTCCGTCGCCGTTCCGAGCAGCTGCTGGACGCGTACGCGCTGGTGCAGACACCGCGCCTGCGGCAGTTCGTGTACTCCACGCAAGAGCCGATCACGGGCGGCCTCTCCAAGTGGCCCGGCCACGGCGCCGACCCTCTCCACACGTACCTCGGTGGGTGTCGTCTCCTGATGACCGGTGCCTGGCGGCTGTCCTCCGCACTCACGGCCTTCCAGTCGGCCGCAGCAGCGCCTGTGCTCGGTGGGCTCGCGCGCGCGCGTGCGTGTGCGTGTGCGTGTGCGTGTGCGTGTGCGTGTGCGTGTTACAGGACAGCGAGTGTAAATTACCGGGTGTTTTTCTCACGAGTAGGATTTGTGACTAGTGTTTTGCCTTCGCTGCCGTACTGCTATCCCAGCTGCCCGAGCGCCGTCTGGGTGCAGTGCGGCGGCCGGTACCGTCCGTGCGCGGCGGTCACGGTCGTGACGTGTGCTGCTGTGTGCAGTCGTCACGGTTGGGCGGTGACGTAACGTGACGTGCGTTGCTGTGCCGATGACTTGGCGTGCGCTGCTGTGCGCGACCGCCACGGTTGGCCGGTGACGTAATGTGACGCGCGCTGCTGCGCGCGGCCGTCACGGTCGGCCGATGACGTGACGTGCTGCTGTGTGCAGCCGTCACGGTTGGACGGTGACGTGACGTGACGTGCGCTGCTGTGCGCGGCCGTCACGGTCGGCCGATAACGTGACATGCGCTGCTGTGTGCAACCGTCACGGTTGGACGGTGACGTAACGTGGCGTACGCTGCTGGCGCGGCCGCCACGGTCGGCCGGTGACGTAACGTGACGTGCGCTGCTGTGCGCGGCCGTCGCGGTCGGCCGGTGACGTAACGTGCGCTGCTGTGTGCAGCCGTCACGGTTGGACGGTGACGTAGCGTGACGTGCGCTGCTTTGCGCCGCCAGGTGTGTCCGGCCTCTCGCTGGCCGACCAGCCGGGCCTCAAGGCCGTCCACCCGGCGCTCAACATCTCCCGAGACGCGGTGGCCGTGCTGCGGCGCGCGCAGGCCCGGTGGCGCCCCCTGCCGCCTGACCACTGACCCCGGCCTCTGGGGCAACGCCGACCGGCGCTCAGTTCTGGGCGGTGTGAGGATACGGCGTGACCGCCACTGGTCGGGCCTGGTGTTTTAAAGCTGCCTACCGCCTCTCCCCTCCGCCCACCGAGCACCGCATTGCGCACTGCCACGCCGTGATGGTATTGAGGTTTCTGCGGACATGTCATCTGCAGTGATCCGTGTGGACAGGAGGCGACCTTGGGCACCACAGTGGGCAAGTGATAGGCGGTACGTTTTATGATGTAACCCGGTATTGAGCCACGAAGTCCCATAAAGTAATCGTGGAGGCTTTACCAGTCATGAATTGTAATACATGTTATTTTTTCGCCACATTTGGCAGTCATGTCTACTTGACTTCATTGCCTGCGTACACGGAGCTGACGTAATGGAGCATCGATATGCAACGCTGGTCCAGCTTAAAGACTACCTTTCGTGATGCGTGTGAATCAATATTGCGACGACCCTTTGCCTGGCACATGTGACCTGTTTGGACATACTGGATATGTCTGCCTGGACACATCGCATCTGTTTGGACACATCGGATTTGCATGAACACGCCGGGCCTGTCTGGACACACCGGACTGCCATGGACACTCCCGACCTTCATGGACACATGGGACCTGTCGGGACGCACCAGACACGCCTGGAACCAGGGCGGCTGCATTGCGCTGAAGCAGGGCGCAGTCGGCCCTCACACTGCGCTGAAGCAGGGCACAGCCGGCCCCCACACCGCGCTGAAGCGAGGCGTAGCCGGCCCTCGCACTCACACGTCTCTAGCGTTGCTCTGTGACTCCAAGTGGGCGCTGGTGTAAGGAGAATGGCAAGAGGCAACGCCGTCAAGCGAGCACTGGCCAGGACCGAAATACGCGAAACCAGATAAGCGGTGCAAAGCTGTTGGCCGATTAATAGACTCCTCCTCCCGCCCCCATCGTGGCAGCTCGAGGTGACCGTTTGTGACCTACATGCAGCCCCTGCATGCGGAACCTGGATTTTTCCCGTTGATGGGCTGACCTTGCCCCGGTGGCGGTGGTGGACCGACTCAGCGTCCACGTGCTCGCGCAGTGCCCTCGCCCTGCCGGGCGGCACGGTCATTGGCAGCCGTGTGCCATGGGGCCCGTGCACCCTCGTACTCGCAGTCACCGTCCTGGCTTCACTGCACTCTCAACTGCTGAGGCTACATAACGCCGCCTGCCCCCCCCCCCCCCCCCACTCTGGCAGGAAGGGCGGCCACCGCGGGGAATCGAACCCGTACCTTTGGTTTCTCACGGGAGCGAGACTTAGACGCGGGGTAATATCTTTGTAATCGCGAGACTTATCATTGACACGATAAGTGGTGTTACGTTTCTGAGGATTTCGCTTCACCATGTCTAGTGAAAGGGGCGCAGTCACACGACACATAGGCTCTTTTGTGTCTTTGGCCATTCTCATAAATATCAATACTAGAACTGTAATCTCCACCGCCATACCAATAATTCAATGCTGTGTTGAACAACGCGCATCGTCCAGAGTTTTGCTGGGCCAGTCAAGGTCAACATTTTAAGATCTTAACATCTTATCTTGGAAGATACAATTTAGATACTTGCACCGGAGGGTAGAAAGCGACTATTTTCGAAGCATTATTTTTAAACCCAAACGATTCGCTCAGGGACTTCATCAGGGGTGGGCAGCTGAAGGGTGGTTCAGTGGTTTCTAGGTCGGGTGTCCGACGCCGGCCGGCGGCGGCCGCGCGCGTGATCTGGGGCGGCGGCGGACATGACGCCCGCCTCAGATAGCAAATGGGACGAGCCAGCGGCGTGTCGTGGGTTCGCTGGCGGCCGCGATGACAAATCGTTCATTCTTTCCTGATGCTGGGGATGGGCGCTGAGATTTCAACGTTACGCCTTCGCACCATATCACTGTCGTACTGGATTACATCCAAAATGGAAAAAAAACAACCGGTTGAAACTTCGGGAGGAGGGAGCACACCCCGAATTTTTCAGGCATTTCTTTCCATGCTTGATCATAACGGCACCACTAAATTTTGCATGATTCAAGGTGGCACGGATTCCTTGGCTCGCGCCATCGAGGGTCCACGTTGACAGTGCCCTCCCACCACGGCTGAATACAAGTCGTGCGTACTCAGGCCCTTTCAAAGGTAGTTTCAACGGGACCATTTGCGAACTCGACAGCAGTGACTCTTCAGCGTAGACAGCCACGGAGTGTAGCTATCTGTTTCGCATCAGAACAGCAGATGCGTGCGAATAGCCAAACGATAGTTTGTTGACAATTTTCAACATGTCGCAAAAAGACATTCACCGTCAACGAGCCCTTCAACCGAGATAATGAAAATGCTGGCTTCCTGCCCCGATCGGTTTTCATCTACGCATCTGTCTAGCACAATCGGACACATGTATTCACGTGTTGGCGATACGCATCAGGTCCCATTATCACGTTCCCAGCCATCTGAACACCCACTCATAAGCCCTCTAGCTTACTGGCACGCAGCCCAGCCGGCGAAAGCTCCAACTATGGAATGTAGCAGCGTTGGTCAACAGACATCTCGTCACTTGCTGCTGTCGGCCTCGCGGATAGCAGCCGGATGAAACGAGCCCAGCCACCTCCCGATGCCGGTGATCACGAGCCCAGCTACCTCTGGATGCCGCTGATCACGAGCCCAGCCGCCTCCAGATGCCGCTGATCACGGGCCCAGCCGCCTCCAGATGCTGCTGATCGAGCCTAGCCGCCTCCAGATGCCGCTGATCACGAGCCCAGCCGCCTCCAGATGCCGCTGATCACGAGCCCAGCCGCCTCCAGATGCCGCTGATCACGAGCCCAGCCGCCTCCAGATGCCGCTGATCACGAGCCCAGCCGTCTCCAGATGCCGCTGATCGCGAGCCCAGCCGCCTCCAGACGCCGCAGATCACGGGCCCAGCCGCCTCCAGATGCCGCCGATCACGAGCCCAGCCGCTGCTGGATACCGCCGTAGGTGACCATCAGCCGCCGGAAGTCGGCGTAGGTCAGGGGGCGACGCGCCGGCGCGTCTAGTATCTCGGTGAGGCGCAGCTGCCAGGGCAGGTAGCCGAGCAGCGCTGGCAGCGAGCCCAGCTTCAGCGCCAGCGCCGGGTCCGGCCAGCGGCGCGCAGCCCGCAGCTCGTCCCCGAACATGTGACGGTCAATCGAGCCGGGTTGACGCGCGCCGGCCGCCACCTGGCCGCAGAGCCGGCGCGCCGCGGCCACCATGTCAGCCACGCCGTCCGGCTCCCAGAGCAGCGCCACCGTCACGCGGTGGGCCGCGCCGCTGCAGCCGTCGCCGACATCGCCGTCCGCTGTGCCGTCGTCAACGAAGCGCACCGAGGCCGCAGTGGTGGCGAACAGGTGACGTTGGCGGCGCGCCAGCAGCGGCCGCAGCTGCGCCGCCGCCGACTCCCGCACCCGGCCGCTCCGCTCGTACACGCTGACGTACTCGATGCCGTACGCCATGCTCCAGAGGATGATGTCGGCCAGAGTCTGCCAGCACATGTCAGGCTCCACGAGGATGATGCCCAGGTGCTGAGGCCGCTTCTGCAGGCGCCGGGCGTCCGCGCACATCACGGCCAGCGGCGGCGTCTGGGCGGCCGGCCACAGCCGCTGCCGCGCCAACTGCCCAGCTCGGCACACAGCCATCACACAACTGGCCAGCAGGTGCAGAAGCCATAATGCCAACTTGCATGCATGCTCTTTCATTTTAGCTAGAGTATTTGGTGGATTGGATGGATGTGACCCTGTTGAGTTGTTCTTGGCCATTGTAAAGACCTAAAACAGAGAAATTAACACATTGTTAGAATGCTAGATACCAATTAAAGCTTGTTTCAGAACTTGCACAACATGGATCATTGTAAAGTACACCAAGCATTTATACATCAGCCAAAGGTCACCTCAACAGAGAATATAAAGCTTTATGTTCTCACCAGTGGGTTTACTGACTTGGTCGCTCACAAGTGTGAATTTGTTCATGCACTCCTAATGGCTTCCTCTATAAAAAAGAAAATTCCAATTTGGTACTCATATATTTGAAAGAATGTCAGGAACATGAGTGACATCCTGCCTATGAAAGGTTTATTCCAATATCCAGGATTGTTTGGATACAATATTGTGCCTAACATCACAATGCATTTTCCTTGTAAGTCCTTATATCATGACAAAGTTGCAGACATGAAAGTGGACTGTGACCTGCACATCAGGGTTTACCACAGAACTAAAAAGTGGACATTTAGGAAAGGGCTGGTCAGATTTAGTTGTGCATGTAAGTACCAATAGCCTTTGTTTAAGGGTTATTTCAGACTCGACTAGGCTGTGTATAACACTACACTTCATGGTGACACTTTCACTTCATGAAGACAATTTTATCATGTATTGTGACTCAACAAAAACCATCAAAAAGTTAAAATAACTTATCCAGGCCTGACCACCTCATATGACAGCGGGGTTATTCTCCTGCGTGCCCAAACAGCACCACATATATGATCTCTCATAACTTCTACACACAACAAAATCTTCTGGCGACCGAGCAGTGCCATCATGCCCCATTCTGTGTGGTCTACATGCCTGCATGGTGACACACCGCCATGGCTATGTCCCTTCACCCCAGCCTGCGTGGTGACACACTGCCATGGCCATGTCCCTTCACCCCAGCCTGCATGGTGATACACTGCCATGGGTATGTCCCTTCACCCCAGCCTGCATGGTGACACACTGCCATGGCTATGTCCCTTCACCCCAGCCTGCATGGTGACACACTGCCATGGCTATGTCCCTTCACCCCAGCCTGCATGGTGACACACTGCCATGGCTATGTCCCTTCACCCCAGCCTGCATGGCGACACACTGCCATGGCTATGTCCCTTCACCCCAGCCTGCATGGTGACACACTGCCCCAGGCCATGGCACATCACCACACAGGCCTAACATAATTATTTGATACCTTCAAGTACACAAGGCAAATACAAGAAGAGTTGCCAGGTCATAAGATCATATCACCATCCAGATTTGTTTAAAACCACACTCTAGCATACATCAGGCACAAGTATCATGGATGCTTGAAAAGCAGCAATTTTTGCCCTGAACAATAGTGGTATCTGTGGACCAAGTGCATCACCATTGATGTCTTTTAATTTCCCCATGCTATGGACACCTTACAAACATATGTAAGACATTCACAGCAGTTATACTTCACAGGGTCAACTGGTGGCCACCAAGTGGCCTGTATAGAGCATAGGCTTTGACTGACCTCATGCAACTGGAGTTTCTTCACTATGCTTAATTATACCTCACTATGAGTAATTCAGTATGGTCAAGAGTGATCATTTTCTCCCCCCCCCCCCCCTCCTAGAAGGACCTAGATTGCCTCTATAATTATCTGTGTTGTGTTGGTGGTGACTTTTGAGGGCATGTTCAATGTGCATGCATTTGATAATGGTCTTGTAGTTCATAGGAACATAGTCATCATAGTAACTGATCAGTTTCTCACACATTATTTTTGAACTGTCACATACTTAGCATCACTCACATGACTACCTGTATCAGACTACCCTATATTAATTTGTGGTCAGGAGCTGGATTATTAAAGGGCAGAAGCACAAATGGCAATAAAAATATACTGATGGAAATTCAAACCATCTCCCAGAATAAACTGTTCAGTTATGATGATTTCTTCAATTACATAGCACCAAAAATCATCAGAAATCAGCAAGATTACATTTTACCCACCAAAATTCAAGTACTTTGATCTCAGGCCAGCAACTATATTTACAATACCACAAAAATAGTGCTGATCTTTGATCAGTCAACAAATCAGCTGGGCATGTAGCAGAGCCCCCTGTTAGGTTTAGTCCCTCAAAGTTAAGTTAGATCAAACTCAACTTATATCCCAGGAATTTACCAGCCTTATTAGGTTAATGCTAGTATTTACTATTGGCATTTCTTCTGGGTGGAGATGCTCTACTCAAACTCATGACCTGTGGTAGTGTGCCCTGTGTATAGAGAGCCTTCGTGCATGATGCCACCACGACTGCACAGGGCTGATCCACGTGGCAGTTGAGCACAGATATAATTCATCATGATTTGCATGCAGTATTTTTGGAAAGTGATGCATTGCATGCTAAGAGTGTCAGGGCACAGCATCTGTGCCCGAAAGGGGAAAAGGCTCAAGACCATTGGCTAACACAGCACTTGACCCTTTTTGCCTTTGGATGGGAGAGATTACATGTACCCCACAAGAAACCATCCTCCAAAAAATTGTCAGCATGTTTCAAATTTAATCACAGCTAAAAGTGCACCTTAAAGGTAGAAATCATAACATGTACCTGCCTCTCAACTTGATTATGCATTATAAGCATGCAAATAAATACTGACAACAGAAGATCACGGCAGACTTATCAGAACATTATAGATAATACATGAAGCTGCTTGAGGAGTATCCTGGATTAACCGTACCCCCAAAACCCTCAATACCCATAATTTCAGTACTTTTAAGTTAATACTTTTCGTCCATCGTAACTGTCACCCAACCAACTTCAAAACCTCCAGCATTAAAAAAGAAGCAAGCCAACGCACGCCCAACAGCAGCAATCACCCCATTCGAACAGCAAAAAAACGCTATGACCTGTCGTGATCTAAGTAGCGCTATCGTCTGACGAGGCTAATTACCCTATCTTTCGACTGGGAACCAACCGTAGTTTCACTCTCAACCAAGACGATGTACACCTTGACATAAAATATCCCAACATCCCGATCCGCGGGTAGCGGATCCAGGGCCAGAGTATTTATTCCGGCAGATCTAAAAATTCCGCTGCAGGCAAAAATGTGCTGAAAGCTACCAAGTTGAGTAAAGTTTTTAACCTGCGTCCCCAGAACCTACTGCTGCGCAAGCATTGCCACTCTAAGTAAGTGCGCATGTCGAGCACGGAAGTAACATGGGTGGTACGCCTAAGTCCTGTAGACGTATAAGTAAAGCGGAACGGGACCGCAACGAGTCAGTGCGTCGTAAATTAACAACACGAGTAAATTTTTAACAACACCTCCGGCTCCCGGGCGTAACACCTCCAGGGGAGGTGGATGGCACCGAAACAAAGACGAAGTAACCGCGGCGGAGGGGGGCAGTGGGACAGCTTCCAAACCCAAAACTGGAAAACTGGAGGGGTATGCAAAAGCAAATATGGCCTGTTGGGGGGCCGTCCTGGGCTATTCAGGGTCCCTTCTGACTAAAAGAGAACAATTCTTAGCCTGAAGAGGGCCTTTTCTGGCCTGTAGAGACACACTGATTTGCAGACAGTTCATTGCTGACTGTGGTGGGCCCATTATGACCTGAAGAGAGCCGGCCTTTAGGGGGACATTCTTGCCTCAATAGGGCCATTCTAGCCTGCAGATCACTCATTATGACATACCGGCTTATCACAACCTGCAGAAGGCCCATATTTACAGTCCAGTCCAACCCCATTCTGACTTGTGGAGGGCACATTCTGGTCTGAAGGGGCCTTTTATGTCGTATTAGAGGGCCCGTTCTGGCATATCTGAGTCCCGCCCCCGCCCGTAACTTGAAACAGCTCCCGTACCCGTGACCCTAATCTCCCTTTGCTACATCGCCGTCGGTTGCATGCGTAACGTGATTAGCTGAGCGCTAGGTGGTGCACCACAGGGCTGAGGCTGGGGCTGCGGCTGGTGTTGCGGCTGCGGCTGCGGATGCGGCTGCGGCTGCGGCAGTGGCTAGGCTTGGGCCTGGCACTGCGGCCGGGCCTAGGCCTTATAGTGCGGCCAGGGCCGAGGGCCGGGGCCGGGGGCCGGGGCCGGGGGCCGGGGGCCGGGACCGGGGCCGGGCCTGAGACCGGCGGATTTGGGAAAGACAGAGGGTAGTTACCGGCTGCCAAATCCGGGCAACATTTAACATGGCGGCAGAACACATGACGAAAGGGGAAGGTTACACAGGCCCTCCCCAGTCTCCACAGAGGGTCTGCCACCACCGACCATGGCATGACAGGAAAGAAGACAGAACCAGGGGAGCGAGGAAGGGCAAGAGGCAACAGAACAGTACAGAAAAAGCCAGGACAGATCAGCAGCTGGGGCAGGGTGGAAATGCGCAGCGTAGAGGGGCGCAGGACAGGAAACAAAAGGATGGGACAGTGTAAGACAACGGTATGGGACAGGGCAGGAGGGCACCAGGCAGGGGAGCAGATGATAGCACAGAGCAGCAAATGACAGGAAGACAGGGATGAGGGGGGGGGGGGCTGAGGGCTAAGAGGGCTGAGGCCCAAGAGGGCTGAGGGCTGAGTGTGTTAAGGATGGGTCTGTCGTATAACATAGGTTCTAGGCACACACGACAGGCTCTAGGTATGACAGAGCAGATCACGACGGTGGCAACAGAGCGGAGGACAGCGCACAACAGCACAGCACAGCACAGAACCCGCAGGGGCACCGGCTTCGGCCGGTGTAGGGGACTAGCGCCCCCTCGGGTCCCTAGTTCCGGCAACGGGTGGACAGCGCAAGCTGTTCCTCTCAGGGCGTAGCGACCCTGCCGGTACGTGAGCTCCTGCTCCTTGTCCCGCCCGCTCCTCTTCCCATTACTCGTTCTCCGGCATCCGGCCCTATCACCACTCCTCATTCTCGTTTTATCGGGGTCGCCGTACCCCCTCGCCCACGTCCCCGGGTTGATCGGACCCTGGTGGCTGAGGGGCACGTCGTGCGGGTCAGTCACGGCGCGCCCCAACACTCCACTTTGGCCGGGATATCCGGGGGCGTGGGGGTCCCGTGGGGCCCCACACGGGTCCAGCGGCTTGTCGCTCGCGTTGCGGTTGAGTGCTCTTTGCGGGTTTCCGCTTGGGGCGTCTGACCGCGCGCAGCGGCTTAAGTGGTCAAGGGGCGGCGGCGCTAAACCACGGTCAGGAAGGGGAGGGGTCTCCCCGGTTACACCTGGCCGTGTGGGAGGCGTCGTTCGTCCCGTATAGCACCGGGGTAGCCCTGGCGGTGACCATATCCCGAGGGAGTGTTGGGCCGCTCCCCAGTTGGGTTCCGTGGTGGATGGGGAGACCCGGTGCCGAATGCTCCAAAAACTCGCATGGATTTTCACTCAACCAACTCCAAGGGAAATGACGCTTCAGCTCAGACGGCTCGGCTGACGACGATGGACGACCGTCCCTCTGCTTCGGCGGAGGGACGAAGCGGTCCTTCGGGCACGGGTGAAATACCGCTGCCACGGACTGATTCCCGCTCCACCCCGTTGGAGCGGACTAGAGGTGGGAGAGTGGGAGTACCGGGGACTGCCGGGCAGGCTGCTCGGTCTTGCTCCCGGGTTCTCGTACTTGCCAGTAGTGAAAAGGATTTGTGTACTCGCCCTTTCAGCGGCGTAGCGGATATGATCGGCTTGGCAAGGTGACGCGCTGTGACAAGCTTAGAAATGGAGCGATCGAGATGGAGTTTTTGAATGCAGCGGAAGCGGAAAAGATGATGAAGGCAACCCCATTCACATACACGGTTAGGAATAAAGATGGAAGGCGAGACGTCACTTTACCCATCACGGTGACGGCTCACAAAACGAAAAACTGCTCTCGCGGGATCATTAACTGTTTTGACCTGGAGGGTGCCAGCCAGGAGGATACCGTGGATGGTCTGTCTGGTTTCGGTGTCGTGGAAGCTCGTCGGATCAAGGTCAGGAGGGGAGAGCACCTGGTCCCAACAAACAACATTATCCTTACTTTCAACCGTGTGGATCTTCCTTCACAAATAGTAGCCGGTACGTAAAAGTAAAAGTTCGTTTGTACATTCCCAACCCTATGCGCCGTTTTCGGTGTCTTCGTTTTGGTCATACAAAAGATTACTGCAGGAACAAGCCGTCTGGTGGGAAATTTGCGGAGACTGACCACACTAGCGAGACCTGCAGCGCTGCGCGACGGAAGTGTGCTAACTGCGACAAAAACCAGATCCCGCAAACGACATTTGATCCTGCTTGTCCAGTGTACTCTCGAGAGAAAGAGACTATTTCCATCAAGTGCTCCCGGCGCATCTCTTTCCGAGAGGCACGGGAGATTTATCATAACTCGCATGCCAAATTATCTTACGCGAGTGCAGTGACTAGCTCCCACTCAAACGTGGTTCATCGTGAGGTCAGCTCGGACCGTATGAACTTGACGCGGTTTGTCGCACTTCTCCAGTCATTCGGGTTGACTTGCAGACCGGCAGCGGGTTCGCATGCTTCGTCGGCGTCTGCGGCGTCCGCCTCACCGCCGGTAGTTGCGGCGCCGGCGGCACTCGTGCCGCTGGCCTCCCCGGTCGGAGAGACACTGGAGGGCGAGGGTGGACTCTGGTTGGTCGGGTTCGGGAGGGGCGCCCCTCCCGAGCAAATCAGACACGTTCTGGGAAAGAGGCGCCGACCACGGCACCTCCCCCAACAACTGCGAACCGAACTTCACCTAGCGAGACAGTGATGGAGGTCTTGCGGCGCGGTGAGATGGATAGGAGGGCCCGCGAGGCCAGGCGAGCGCGTCTGGTCAAGCAGACGAGGGTGGCCAGGCGATCCCCGGGGGCTACCGATTCCTCGGCCCCGGCGGGGGACGGTGAAAAGTCTCCTCCCTTGGGGTTTGCCGGGGCGTCGGTGCCGGCGGTGGCTGGCGGTGCGCCATCCTCTGCGGTGGCTGATGGGGTGCCGTCCTCCATGGGAGGGAGCACTTCCACGCCTAGCAAGTGCGTTGGGCCGCCGCTTGTTCCGTCCCGAATGGGTGCCCCGCCGCCTCCTACGCCTTCCCTGCCGCCTCCGGCGACCCCGCCGTCGTCCCCGAGGCGGTTGGATCCTCCTTCCGCCCCGGGCCGCCCCGCAAAGCGCGGATTGCCCTAGGAGAGGTTCGCCGACAGACGAGGGAAGTCCGCGAGCGCGGTTGAAGTTTCAGTCAAGCTCGAATGAAGGTCGTTCGAGTTCTGCGGACGGTAGGTTGCGCCAAAGTGGAGGTGTGCACCCCCGGGTACACTTCAGGAAGTTAGGCCTTCGTCTGGTGCAACGGAACTCTTGTAGTCAGCTTAGTCATTTTTACAATCTATAATAGTTTAACGTCACCTTTTTATGCAGCCCATGTTTTTCTTAGCTTCATAGTCTTAAACTTCATTTTTAACCAGGTTTTATGCAGATTATCCTGCAATGAAACTGTAGAGGCTTACGAACCAGTGCCCAGGATTTACACGCTGTGCTAAGTCACCGTTGCCCGGTTGCTGTCTGCCTCCAGGAGACGAAGCTGTCGCCGGATTCTCACTGCACCATCAAAGGTTACTCAATATTTAGAAAAGATGTGCTACCAGACACTGTGGCGCACGGTGGTGTGCTGTTGGCAGTGCACCACAGTGTGCCTGCGCAGCAGCTGAGGCTGCAAACCTTGCTCCAAGCTGTTGCTGCGCGTGTATATTTTAATTATCGTCTTGTAACCCTGTGCTCAGTGTATTTGCCACCGGGGCTCAGTTTTCCATTGGTGCAGCTCAGACAGTTGATGGCAGAGCTCCCTCCGCCTGTGATTATCTTGGGAGACTTTAACGCACACCACACCGTTTGGGGTTGTGATTACAGCAATGCGCGGGGACGTTCCTTAGAACAATTTATTCACGAGGAGTCGCTCTGTGTTTTGAATACGGGATCCCGGACGCATTTTACGCTACCGTCAGGTCAAACGTCGGTTTTGGACCTAAGCCTGGTGAGTCCGCAGCTCGCGCAGCTTTTTACGTGGACTATAGCCGACGACCCTATGGGAAGCGACCACTTCCCAGTG